TTGTTTTTGGTGACAACGCAGATGGTAAGATTTCTACTCAAGCTAGCTGACAATTAATGTGATGTTTTTCACTTGTGGAGACCAGCTATGTATAATAAGTGGAACTCTCAGATCTTGACACATATCCCATGAGGAACAAAAGAAAATTCCCCATTACGAAGTAGTATGCAGAAAACAGTTGACAAAAAAACGGTTGGAGCAGCAAAACACAGCTCTAATGGTGGTGGCTACGTGTATTGCAACCTTATCTTTCCAAGTTATTATTACTCCACCCGGAGGCATTTGGCAGGATGAAAATGGTCATAAGGCAGAAACACCCACATTCCAGATGGTAAAGGTCATTATTTGTACAAATGTGTACAAATTGGCAACACAGTTGGACTGATGTCATCTCTAGGCGTTGTCCTTCTCCTTATTAGCGGGCTTCCTTGCACGCGATTACTAGTGTTCGTTTTGAGGTTTACATTGTGGATTGCTGTAATGGCGAGTGCAGCAACTTACTTCTACACGACAGGGTTTCTCACAAGTGATTTTGTCAACAAAGACATTGTCCAAGATGCTCTAGATTATTCCATCGAGATTTGGCTATGGTTAATGTTACTTGTACTATTGGGATATCATTGTGTGCGGCCTGCCGTGCTTTGTGCTGCGCGCTATATATGGAAGCGAATTGGTTATGAGCGTAGGGTGAAGATTAGAATGTTTCTGTAAAAGATAGCGTTCTATACGAACTTTCGAATGTATTTGACTGAAGATCGGATGTAATTGCTTTTTAATTGAATCAATTCAAGGCTACCCAGTAACAAACTATTAAGACTCTATGTATCGAAAGCCTAGAAGTGTGTTTTTATTAAGCCCCTTACAAGAATTTGCCAGCTTTCTGTATTTTTTTTGTTTAATATATTGGAAAAGATGAATTAATTAAAGAGTTCGATAAATTGTACTTTCATTCTCTTTCTCTCACTAATGTACGTAGTACATTCTCTCTATAAATTTCAACCATTTACTTGATCATCGGAGTGAGTTCCTCGACGATCCCCCAGGGCAGTTATGTTTGCTTCCTTACAAATTCGAGTGCAATTTAGCCATGTGATCAGTAGTCTCACACCAAAGTTTACCCGAAACAATATATCTAAACATGATGATAATAACATTGTGGAAAAACACATACATTTTTTTTTATTTTTTTTGAAGACCAAAGCACTGTACATACATGTAAAAATAGAAATGGGTAGGATAGACGAATTGAATGTGGCACAAGAAAGAAACAAAAAAAAGGGGCGCAAACATGAGTGAAGTGGGGTTCAAATGGTCAAATATCACACTAGCTACGTACGTGCATGTAACATATGAAGTAGTTACTCAGTTTTCTTGAGTTCTACTCGATAACATTTTCCTTAGTTTTACTCAATTAATATAATTATGGAATCTAAAGTAAAGTGCAATGAGAACCAAGTTTTTGGGTAGTTTTACTTTTAATAGGAAAGACATAACAATAGACAATTTAATTAATGTAGCTGGGTCTCACAAAATGCATTAGTAAATGATAAAAATTTATAAAAAGTTATAATAATAGAATTAAAAATAAAATATGAGCTAATTAGTAAATGAATGAAAATGAAAAGTGATTAAAATCTAGAAAAAAGTCATATTGTTAAAGTGCAGATGCAACCATGGGCCGCTTTAATAATGCAATATTATTATTTAGGGGACGATTTATATATTTTGTATATCATTTTTCATACTTCACTTTGTTTTTTTGGAATGCATAATTGAGTTTGCACAATTATCTGAACCACAACTTTAAATCAATATCTTTAATCAAATATTACTTAAAATTTTAAAACAAATTATAGAAATTAATTGACAATGTGACTAATCCAACAATATACTAGATGATGATAACATTTACGTTATATTACTTCAAAACGTTGGTGCGTAAAGCTTATAATATTGTGTAGGACAAGGTTACGTACGAATCCAATTCATTGAGTGAGATTTTACATTTTTTACTTTCGCTCACTTTACTTATCGAATTTTCTTTACTTAATGTTAGCTTGTCTTCATTACATTATCTTTTTGTGTATTCACATGTTGGCGTCCTTGCAGCCTTTTACTCAAACTTCACGTGAGATGCTTGGCAAGTGATCAAGCAATCATACATCAGCACTCAATGGGCGCTACTTTAAAAAAAAAAATTTAAAAATTAAAAATTAAAAATAAAAATTAAGTCACCAAATGATTTTATTATAATTAGAGGTACAGTCTCTGTTAATTTCTAACTATGTCGGTCTGGACATTAATTTTTTTGGAAGATGAGTTGAAATGTTGAATAAAGAAAAGCATTGTGTAAATGATATTTGTTATTAGTAATTTAAACATTAGTTAAATGAGATCAGAAATTATAATTTATCACTATGTCCCAGTTTAGTTTAGTTTTTTAAATTTCTTTTTAATTTTTATTTACGCATCACTTATATTTAGGCAAAGTTTTAACATACTTAATTTGCTTTAAAATTATACTCCCTTTTTCTAAATTGCAACACTACTTTAAACAGCATTGAATTTTATGTACTTCCTCCGTTTTTTATTATTTGCAACAATTACTAAAAGTGGGTGTTTTCATATTATTTGCAACAAGTTTTTTTTTTTCCTTTTATAGTAAGTATAGTAATGGTAAAATTACCATATTACCCTTAAAAAAAACTGATTATATTCTAACCTACAATCTAACTATGATTAATAACCCCAAACTAACCATATTCATCCTTCCAACCCCAATCAACCCTTGTATTTTCATTCTCACTTATTTCTCACCATCTCCTTAAACCATCTTCTTCAACCATCACCTTCAATGGCAAACACCACCACTACTACCACCGTACCGATCTCCACTCTATCTTCATCTACCCATAAATTCCCCCTCTCTTTGTTCATCTCCCCTCAAATTCAACCACCACCTTCGCCGGAAGTCGCCCTATAAGTGTCATGCTTGTCGTCGTCGCCGTCTCCGCTTTCTCTCTTTTCCTTCTCCTTTTGTTTCAGCCTTGTCACTAAAGCTCAAATTTGAAGGTTTTATGGTCAAATTTAACCATGAAAATTCTAGATCTAGAATTTTAATGGTTAAATTTGACCAAATAAATCTTTAATTGATGATAGAGAAGGTAGTGGTTTTTCATTTATATCTTTGGGTTGGTTTTTTTAGGGGCGGGATTCATGGTGTTAGATTTTTCCGGTTGGAGGTGGTGGTTTTGGGGTGGGTTCGTCTGGTTTGTGGGTTTGGTTTCGTGGGGTGGCGTGGGTCTGGTTCGTGGTGGTGGTTGTGTGGGTTTGGTGTCGTGGGGTAGCGTGGGTCTGGTTCGTGGTGGTGGCTGGGTTCGTCTGGTTCGTGGGTTTGGTTTCGTGGGGTGGCTGTGTGGGTTTACGGTGGGTTCGGTGGTGGTGCTTCTGGGTTTTAGTAGTTCCCATAAATTTTTGGTTTTTTTTTTTTTTAATTGGATTAGTGTTTAAAGACATGCCCTTATATTTTAATAATCATGCTTAAAAACTTTTGTCTTGGCCTCCGTAAAAGGTACGGTTGTTGCAGATAATTAAAAACGGAGGAAGTAGTTGATTTGAATTTATTAGAATTAAATAAAAAAAAAATGATAGTGGGTGAAAAAGGTAATGTAAAAGTAAGAGATGCCTGAGAAGTTAAATATTAAAGAAAAAGTGTAAGTGGGCCGGGGATGAGTGTGGTCCATATGAAAAGAGAGATATAATTAATAGTATTTGCATTAAATTAAGTTTTGTATTTAAAAGTGATTGTTGTTGTAACTAAATTAAGATTTGTAATTAACATATTTTGATCAAATAATAAGGAGACCGTGAAAGAGATAGCATGTGAGAGAGTAGTTTTTTTATTCACTTAGGTAGAGACCATGGAAGAGAGAAAAAAGATAAAATCTTTTGAGTTGGGTTTTAAGAAAAAAGATAAAATATAATATAATTAAATTATCAAAATAGGAGTGATGTTTTTCTTTTTTTAATAAGGCCAGATAAAGAAAGTAGTGATGCATTTTTTAAAAATGTAGGGGATATCAAATAATTAGGGATGCTAGAGCGGAGAAATAATATAAAAGTATGTGTGGTGACTATGAGGAGAGAGATAAAATAAAAAATAAGAGAAAATGAAAAAAACGATGCATTAAAAAAACAATTGATTTAGAAAAGCAATGATGCATTTCAAACCAAACTAAAAGGAGTATACAATTTCTATGGCTACAATAAATTTCAATAAATTTTTCCTGAAAAGGCGCGATACATGTGAGAGAAATTTCACAGTGCAAGATTTGAACTTAGTTTTGGCAAAGAAATACCTTCATTTGATTCAATTGGTTATGATCATGTTAAAGTTGAACTATTTTGCAAATTTCATATGACCTTTTATTAATAAATTGAATATAGTTTATAAAAAATATTATAACCTAATTTTTCTGATTTTTTATTTTTTATATATCTACTATCAATATAATAAAAGTGTAGTAGGGTACAATTGGAATTACGTACTTTTTATATTTCTTAAGTGTAGTCTTACAAAGTTTCTCATTCTACCAATTGGTTGTTGGTGTAGTGGTGATTGGGACTGCACATGGTAGGGAGGACCCGTGTTCGATTCCCCGCAACAACAATTAGAAGCGGATTTGAATCTAACCACCCACAACTGATTCTCGAATTCGGATTAGCCCAAAAAAGGTGAACCAGGTGGAACACCAAAAAAAAAAAAAAAAAAAATTCTCATTCTTTCCTTAACTAGCTTATTACTCCGTATATTGGTTGTTACCTTTATCTTGTTTGAACTGATATATTATACCATACTCTTCCCCAATAACCAACTTTTGAGATACTATATAGAGAATGCCTACAAGTATGTATGTATTCATTAAACCAATTAAAATAATTTGTTTTAATATCAGCTTCCTAATTTTTTTTTTTAAAAAAAAAATACCACGCATTTTAAAATGGAAAATCATATTGAAATAACCCATCAAACACTTGCTACAACCCTATATGAAGCCGCACTTGAGAATAACGTCGATTCCTTGAATGAGTTGCTAGGAATAGATCGATTTATTCTCGATCGATGCATCATTGAAAAATCATGTATCGTCATGCAGTCTCCATTACATGTTGCTGTCAAAATGGGGCACTTAGGATTTGTAAAAAAAATTCTAAGTGTGAAGCCGGAGATGGCTGAGGTGGTTGATCAAATAAAAAGATCAACACCACTACACATTGCGGCTGCAAAAAAAGGGTGGTTACCAATTGTCGAGATGTTGCTCGAAGTGAAGCCGAACATGTGTTTCGTGCACGATCAAGATGGAATGACGCCCCTTCATGTCGCAGCAGTAAATGGTAACACCGACGTCCTTATAGAGTTTCTCAAGAAGAAGCATCAGGCTGCTTTGGAACGAACTACGAAAGGTGAGACTATTTTACATTTGTGCGTGAAAAATTGTCAGCTAGACACATTGAAAGCATTGGTTAAGGATACATATGATCTTGAGTTACTTAACTCCGGGGATAATGATGGCAACACTGTAAGAGTATAGATGCACTTAGCGGAATTTCAAGAAACTATTTCTTAGCATCTAAAACAGGATCTCATGCATATAAATAATACGATCACATAAAGTAATATATCATACCCTCGATGCGTGATTTCCACAAAGTAAGAGGGCACTTCTTTCTTCAATAAGAGATCGTTAGAACGTCAATTGTCGTTCCTCTAATATTGGTCCACGAGCAATGATTGAATTTCCACGTATGCTAGTACGGAATAATGAACAATTCCTTATTGCTTTTACTGGAGGATATTTGAGAGAGAGGTTTTGTGATTAATGAAAAATGTATATCTTCATTTATGTCACTTAGTCATATTTATAATAGACTATTGCACCTCTTCACATAATCGCATCTCTTGGGCTTAATGCCTTTTCATGTATCTTAATTCAATCATATACTCATATGTGTGACCTCATAGGACCGGATTATTATTAGTAGTAAACTAATCGCATTAGTTCACAAATCATAATTGGTTTCTAGCAAAACATTATGATTACCTAAAATAACCGATTATAATTAATCTCCATATTTGTCCTAATTATAATTAGTGATTACACTTGATCGACGGACATTTCCTTCAATCTCCCACTTGTCCTAGAACAAGTGTGTAACCATAAATTCCTTAAGTCACTTAATGTCGAATTTGATAATATGATAACATCTTATGTCATCCATATTAAGATTCAAATTGTTTCTTGAAATCTGAGTTAAGAACTGTAGAAACAAGTGATTAAACCTTTAATCCACTTGAGCACGGCCATGCATTTTCAGTTTCTAACTCTTCAAGAGGCCAAGACACCAATCCCATTTAAAATAGGAGGATTTATCCAATCTTGTCCAACCAATACTCCCACTAAACTTTTAGCATTCCTGATTGCTGCCTTTATTACCTCCTTTTACGGCACGGCGTTTGACATCATCAAGGATATACTAATTATCTCATGGAAGAATGTTGTTCTCATGTTTGAGGAATCCACTAATTATAAGTTTGAAATCTTATTTCAATTTTGGTCTGTTCCATACACATCACAATGCATATCTATGTAGTCGACTAAACATCTCTATATCCCTATAGCTCATGAAACTGAGCTATCAATCGATCCACATACTAGTCTTTTGATTGAGGCATTTATGTCCATTAATGTCTCAGACTAGGAACACTAGTAATTTATAATTTATGTTCTCCTAATAGGGTTTCATTTGTCAAATCACGCATTTGACAACCTATAAAAATTACAATTACTTTGAACATTTTATTTAATTCTAAACCACAATTAAATAAGAATAATTTATTGAAAAACATAAATATTACATGATTCAATGTCTTTACAATTATGAAAATCAATTTACATAATCTAAAGCCATTCTCCAACATGCTTGATTCCTATAGCTCTAGCGTGACTTTCATGCTTTGGCTGTGGTAGGGGTTTAGTCAATGGATCAGCGACATTCTCATCCGTATGAACTTTGCAAACTCTGACATCTTTCCTAGCAACAATTTCTCGGATTAAATGGAATTTCCTTTCCACATGCTTAGATTTGTGATGTGATCTTGGTTCTTTTGCCTGAGCAATTGCACCATTATTATCACAGTACAAATCAATACCATTCACAATGGTAGGCACAACTCCCAACTCAATGAGGAATTTCTTAATCCAAACGGCTTCTTTGGCCGCTTCAACTGCTGCTAAATATTCAGCTTCTGTTGTAGAATCTGCTACAGTGCTCTGCTTTGAACTTTTCCAGCTGACTGCACCTCCATTTAGACAAAAAATGAAACCAGATTGTGATCGGAAATCATCTTTGTCGGTTTGGAAACTTGCATCTGTGTAACCTTTAACAACTAAGTCACTCTCACCTCCATACACTAGGAAACTATCCTTAGTCCTTCTTAAGTACTTAAGGATGTTCTTAGCTGCAGTCCAGTGCGCATCGCCTGGATTTGATTGGAATCTGCTACATACGCTCAAGGCATATGAGACATCTGGCCTTGTACAAATCATAGCATACATAATTGATCCTATAGTGGATGCATAAGGAACATTTTTCATTCGCTTAGTCTCATCAGATGTCTTTGGACATTGAGTCTTGTTTAGCGATATGCCATGTTGCATGGGAATGAATCCTCTTTTAGAGTTTTCCATATTGAACTTTGCAAGAACCTTATCTATATAAGTTTCTTGACTTAGTCCAATCATCCTTCGAGACCTATCTCTATGGATTTTGATTCCCAAAATGTATTCGGCCTCTCCTAGGTCTTTCATAGAGAAACAACTTTTCAACCATTCCTTGACAGATTCAAGCATTGGTATGTTATTTCCTATGAGAAGTATGTCATCCACATACAATACCAAGAAGACTATGCTGTTTCCACTTTCTTTCTTGTAAACACAAGATTCTTCTTCGCTTCTGAGAAAATCAAACTTTTTGATTGCCTCATCAAATCGAAGATTCCAACTCCTAGATGCTTGCTTAAGCCCATAAATGGACTTCTTAAGCTTGCATACCTTCGTAGGATTTTCTGGATCTACAAAACCTTCTGGTTGTGTCATGTACACATCCTCCTCCAAGAAACCATTCAAGAAGGCGGTTTTCACATCCATCTGCCAAATTTCATAGTCATAAAATGCAGCAATCGCTAGAAGTATCCGAACGGATTTAAGCATCGCTACCGGTGAAAATGTTTCATCATAGTCAATACCATGTATTTGCTTGAAACCTTTAGCAACCAGTCGAGCTTTGAAAACAGTTACATTTCCATCCTTGTCAGTTTTCAATTTGAAAACCCATTTGCATCCAATAGGTGTTACCCCATTTGGCAAATCAACCAAGTTCCATACTTGGTTCTCTGACATGGATTCCATTTCGGATTTCATGGCTCCAAGCCATTTTTCGGAGTCTGGACTCGTCAAAGCTTGTTTATAACTAGTAGGTTCTTCCTGGTCCAAAATCATAATTTCAGAGTTTTCCGTTAACAGAAGTTCAACAAACCTCTTAGGTGGTCTTGTTGGTCTACTAGATCTACGTACGGGCTGAGCAACAGGAGAAATGTTCTTCTCAACTATTTGAGAAATTTCGCACGAATTTGATTCGAGTGGGACGATAGGAGGTTCTTGCGTTGAATGCAATTCCTCCATCACATTGTTAGTAGTGAGGAGAGGATCGTGCGTTTCAGGCACTAGCTCTTCCTCATTTACTAATGACCTAATCGGTAAGAAATAGCCCTGTGATTGCATCTCTGACGTGGTTTTATCCACATCCATTTGTTGCTCCTCTCGAATTTCTTCGAGATAGATACTACTCCCACTTGTCTTTTTGGAAATGAAATCCTTTTCCAGAAAGACACCATCTCGAGCAACAAACACTTTGTTAGCATTTCGGTTGTAAAAGTAGTAGCCCTTTGTTTCTTTAGGATAACCTATGAAGAAACATTTGTCAGATTTGGGAGACAGCTTATCTGAAAGTAAACGTTTTACATAAGCTTCACAACCCCAAACTCGTAGAAAAGATAATTTTGGAACTCTTCCTGTCCATAACTCATATGGTGTCTTTTCTACTGCCTTTGACGGAGTCCTGTTTAGTGTAAAAACAGCAGTTTCGAGGGCATGTCCCCAAAAGGATATTGGAAGGTCTGCAAGACTCATCATAGATCGAACCATATCAAGTAAGGTACGATTCCTCCTTTCGGAAACACCATTTAACTGAGGTGTTCCTGGTGGAGTTAGTTGGGAAAGTATTCCACAACCCTTTAGATGATCATCAAATTCTTGGCTTAAATATTCTCCACCACGATCTGATCGTAGTGCTTTTATTGTTTTGCCAAGTTGATTCTGTACTTCATTCTGAAATTGTTTGAACTTTTCAAATGATTCAGACTTATGCTTCATTAAGTAAATATATCCATATCTACTTAAATCATCAGTAAAAGTTATAAAGTAACTAAACCCTCCCCTGGCCATAGTGCTCATTGGTCCACAAACATCTGTATGTATGAGTCCTAAAAGATCACTTGCTCTTTCACCTTTTCCTGTAAAAGGTGACTTAGTCATTTTACCCATCAAACACCCTTCACATATATCGTATGATTCATAATCAAACGATGTCAGAATGCCATCCTTTTGCAATTTCTGAATACGTTTTGGGTTAATGTGTCCTAAACGACAGTGCCATAAATAAGTAGGGTTTGAATCGCTTGATTTATTTTTCTTGCAGTCTATGTTATAGATATGTTTGTCAAAATCTAATACATACAAACCATTTATTAATTTAGCACTAGCATAAAACATCTCTTTAAAATAAACAGAACAACCATTGTTCTTTATTTCAAAAGTAAATCCTTCAGTGTCTAAAACACAGAAACAGAAATGATGTTTTTAGTAATAGAAGGAACAAAATAACAATTATTTAATTCTAAAACTAATCCAGAAGGCAAAGGTAGACTATATGTTCCAATTGCCAAAGCAGCAACTCTTGCTCCATTTCCAACGCGCAGTTCTACCTCTCCTTTAGCCAGCTTTCTACTTCTTTTTAGGCCCTGCACATCCGAAACAATGTGAGTACCACAACCGGTATCAAATACCCAAGAAGTAGAAGTTGTTAAATTAACTTCTATAACAAAGATACCTGAAGAGCCTGTCTTCTTATCTTCCAAATACTTTGGGCAGTTTCTCTTCCAATGGCCTATTCCATCACAATAGAAACACTTGGCATCCGCTTTTGGATCGCCCTTGGGCTTATTAGATGTCTTAGTTTGAGCAACTTGCTTGCCCTTTCCTTTGACAATCTTTTTGCCCTTCCCTTTCCTCTTGAACCCCTTACCCTTTTGTACCATAAGAACTTCTTTCTTTGGTTTTGGAATGTCCATCTCAGCAGTGACAAGCATTCCGTGCAGTTCTTCTAAGGTTTGCACTTTATTGTGCATGTTAAAGTTTTGCCTGAATTGCTGAAATCCATCATGCAATGACATCATGATTATGTCAGTGGCCATTTCAGTGGTATAGGTCATTCCCAGTTTAGACATTTTCTGGAACAATTCCATCATTTTGAAAACATGTTCTCCCACTGGTTCATCGACCTTTTGCACACATCGGAGCAGCTCTCTATGAGTCTCGTATCTCTCTATCCTTGCTTGCTTCTGAAACATCTTTTTCATTTGCTGGATAATGCTATGAGCATCCATACCATCAAACTTCTTTTGAAGGTTTGGTTCCATGGAAGCTAGCATGAGACATGTGACAAACACTGATTTGTCTTTAACAACCTTATGACTGGCCTTTTCAGCATCTGATGCTGTGGCTGTCAAAACTGGTATAGGGGTGTCAAGGACATCCTCTCTTCCTTCGGCCCTAAGAACAATTCTTAGGTTTCTTTCCCAATCAAGGAAGTTAGTGTTGTTCAATTTATCCTTCTCAAGGTATGAACGTAAGTTAGGACTATTGTTGTTGTTGTTACTAGACATGATATCTACAATAGAAATATAGCAAAGTTTAATTATATGTTTATCATAGTAGCATACAAAATTTGAACAATTCAAAGCTACTTATCACATTTTAAAATTGTCCCGTATATTTAATGTGAATACCAAGATCCTTTAAAACAATAAATTTTAGCGACTTTGGCCCTATGTATAAAATCTAGTGTTTTATTGGTAAGTAAACAACCTTTACTAATTATATCTCATATAATTCTTGGTCGATAGATAACAACTTTTGTTTCCATCTCTATGTTTCAAGACCCAAAACTTTGTCTTTTGATAATCTTGTTGAGAAAAAAACCAAACAGTGACATGTAAAATTTCATAAATATTACCCTATATTCCCGAGATTATATGCAACACCCCGCTTTGGCGGAACCTATTACTTATGATCAAAGGCTTTATAGGTGTCTGTTTGGAAAAACATATCTCAATATTGTTTTTAGGGACCCAATTTACTATGTTGATTTATTTATTAGAGAACTTATACCATAAATAAGAGCAACATACGTAAATTTAAATAAGCAAGATAAAATGCAATAAAATTGTGATCCTAGTATGGCCCCTAATTCTATGAAAATAAAAAGTCTATCTTCATAGTCTCCATCCATGATAAGTCGCGAATCTCCATCCATGATTCATCGTGGATCGTTGCTGGATAACTCTTGTATTGTATTCTAATTTAAATAAGCAATAAATAAATTACAAAAATACAAACGGTGCGCAGACCGTATTTACAAAAATACTAACGGTACGCAGACCGTATTTTCTATCCTATTTTGGGCCATACTAGTCACCACATGCAAACATAATATCACATATTATAAAATGCATACAAATATTAATAAGACCACAAATTATTAATAATATGCATAATAAGATATTAAAATTGATAAATCATGCCGTTAACAAAATGAAAAAGCATTCCATTACTAAAATTTAGGCCCAAACTAAATAACATGTCAGAACAAAAGCAGCCCACATGCATATTACTTGTTATTATTTAAAACAAAAAATAGAAGACAGGAAACGACATGAATGAAAGTATGAAACTCCATGAATGAAACTCCATCCATGAACAGACATGAATGAAATTTCATCCAACAGCCATGAAACGACAATAATCAACCGTCAGCCAAGAACCGCCATGAAGAGGCATGAAGAAAACCGTCGGCCAGAACGGTTCCAGCCAACGGCAGTCACGTTCAGCCGGTTGCGCAACTTAATTGCAGCCACGCAAACGGCCGGAATTGACTTCTTGACCACCGGATTTCAGTTCGGCGCAACCCGATATGCCTACATTCATCGCCGGAGTTCACCTTGACCAACGAATTTCGGAAATTCATGGCTGGGGTTTACTCCATGGCCAACGAATTTCTGAAATTCGTGGCTGGGCATGGCGAAATGGCTTATAAGACAAAGAAAGGCAAAATCCCCATACTTATTAATTTGGGGTTTTTTAACTTTAATTTCAATAAAACGATACTTCCTCCCCTTAATGAAATTAAAGTTAATATTATACAACAAATTAATCGAATTAATAATAATCATATTATTATATGCAAGAGGCAAACTGATACCACTGTAAGAGTATAGATGCACTTAGCGGAATTTCAAGAAACTATTTCTTAGCATCTAAAACAGGATCTCATGCATATAAATAATACGATCACATAAAGTAATATATCATACCCTCGATGCGTGATTTCCACAAAGTAAGAGGGCACTTCTTTCTTCAATAAGAGATCGTTAGAACGTCAATTGTCGTTCCTCTAATATTGGTCCACGAGCAATGATTGAATTTCCACGTATGCTAGTACGGAATAATGAACAATTCCTTATTGCTTTTACTGGAGGATATTTGAGAGAGAGGTTTTGTGATTAATGAAAAATGTATATCTTCATTTATGTCACTTAGTCATATTTATAATAGACTATTGCACCTCTTCACATAATCGCATCTCTTGGGCTTAATGCCTTTTCATGTATCTTAATTCAATCATATACTCATATGTGTGACCTCATAGGACCGGATTATTATTAGTAGTAAACTAATCGCATTAGTTCACAAATCATAATTGGTTTCTAGCAAAACATTATGATTACCTAAAATAACCGATTATAATTAATCTCCATATTTGTCCTAATTATAATTAGTGATTACACTTGATCGACGGACATTTCCTTCAAACACAGTCTTGCACCTTGCTGTGGCTTACAAAGAATATAAGGTACCATAAGATTTAACAATTCAATTCTCTTCGGATTTTTACGTATTTATGTTTATTTTGTTAAGTTAATAATACTATCATGAATTCAATCGGTTCACATGTCCATCCGTCCATCCTTGACCTTATCAAGCTGGTTTTACTATTTCGTTTTTTTTAAATAGGCAAATAAAATTGGTCTCAACAGTACACTCTGAACTATATTTTGAGTACCTAGACCCTTGAATTTTAACGACTAGTCGCTGGCACACCCTAGCTATAGATTGAGGTGCAACACATGCATGTCTCAATTTAAGTGTCTAATAGTACCCATAAGCATGATACAAGAAGTGGGATTGGGGATTTGGTCATCTCTTATAAATCTATAACTCATTAGCAGATATTGTTAGAAATCGTTAATGGAAGACTATTCAATGGATACTATAAAATTATGGCCATTATAATAAAGTTAAATCTCAACCCTTTATTTTTAAGAAATGATCTTATCCATTCATTTATGACGTCAAAAAAAGAAGAAAAAAAAAAACACTATTTCATGGGCTTGTTTGGCATCGCTTTTTGTTTTCAGTTTTCAGCTTTTTTGAAAACAAAAAACCAAAAACAGGAATCAAGAAAAAGGTGTTTCCACTTTTCTGTTGTCAGTTTTCAAAATTATCATGATCTTAATAAATTTGACTAATTTTTGATTCATTATATTACATATATCATATGATTTTGAAAAAGTAAAAAACAGAAAACAGAAAACTACAGCGGTGCCAAACGAACCCTAAATTAGTTTTAAAAATCTAAACAAGTAGGAAACACTTTTTTCCCCCAAAAATAATAAAAATTCTACTATGATCATCCTTAAAATGACTATAACTATTCTTAAATCCTATTGGTTAATTTTTCCTTTTTTTAAAATGTTTGGTCAAACCTCTTTTTTATTTTTTTTATTTTTAATTCTTTTTCTTTTTTCCAAAAAATAGTTTCTAATTTTCGAAAATCTTATTTTATTTGGTTTTCATAATTATTTTATTGAAATCATTTTTTAATAAAGTAGAAAAAATAATATTTCCTCCAAAAAAATAAAATAAAATAACTAAATAAATTAAAATCAAAATAATGTTCTTATTCTTCAATGATTTACAATCCATCTAAAACCCACCCACCATCACCTACACCCCCCTAAACCCATCGCCTACACCCACCATCACCACCGCCATACGCGCCTCCAACACCATCCCACCACCACGAACCCAGATGACGAAATACACACCCAGAAACCCAGAAAATTCAAACCATCGCCATAAGCCCAGAAGCCCACAAAAACTACCCCAAAACCCATGAAACCACCCCAACGCTCTTCGAAAACTGTTCCGACCCACCGACATCCACCCTAAAAACCTAGAAATTCAGATCCGGCCATGAACACCACCCTCACAAACCCACGAAATCTCTCACAAAACTGACGGAAACCGCACCCTTATCAACCACCATATTAACCCACGAAAATCTAACTCTTGTAAAATCAACCACCATCGGGTTTAAGAATAGTCATGGTCATTTTAAGGATGACCATAGTAGAGACATCCAAAAAAATAAACGTTAAATTTAGAAAAATAATGTTCTTTTTTAAACTTCAAGATCAAAACTTATACCTTCCATGGAAAATCCATTCCAACCTTTATCTGTTTTTTTTTGTTTTTTTTTTTTTTTTTCAAAAAAAAATGTTCCTACTTTAATATATGCAGTACATGATTACTCTCATAACTCTTGCTGATCATATTAAATTATCATTGGCTTTGTATTTTTTTCATTTGATTGATGATCGAATATGAATTTCATGTTATGTGGGTTGATTGATTGATCACAAATTGCAGAGAATTAGCAATGGAAACTTTCGGTAAGAGTAGTTTATTTTTGGGATAAAACAGTTAAAAGATTTTTTTTAAGGTAGTTTTTTTTGGTCAACTTGATCAACTGTACTAATTTATGTTAAGACAATCAAGGTTGTAGATTTCATTGTTATAATGACTACTTTTATTGTAGCCATTGCAAAACTATCCATTGTTAATATAAATTTTTAAATATATATTGGTACAGAATAGGATCGAGTAATCAAAATTAAGTCAACCCTTGCATGCATATTTGCCTTCCTTGGCTTCTCTTAAATTTGTATTTGTTGACGATGCAGATGTTAGAGTTTTTACTAGAGCAAGGTGATAACAAGATAGATAAAAACGCTATGAACAAGAAAAACAAGACAACTATGGATATTTTCGACCTAACAAAAATTAGGCAGGATTCTGATGAGGATAGAAAAGCTAAAGAGAATAATTTAGCACAATGCTTGTGTACTATAGTAGGATGGTGTGGTTCATCAAAAGACGGTCAAGAAAATAAATATAGCGAAACTGATCAAAAGATCGAGACATTACTTAACGATAAAAATGCATTACGAGCAAAAATGGTGCTGAAACGCAGGGAGGACGAAAAATGGTTGGAGGAGCAGAACACAGCTCTAATGGTTGTTGCATCTTGTATTGCGACCTTGTCATTCCAAGTCGGAATTAATCCACCCGGAAGTGTTTGGACGGATAATGAACAAGGTCATGTGGCAGGTACGTCCATAATGTCATATGATAATGATAAAGATTCATACAATCTAGTGCAAGTTAGCAACACTATTGGGCTCATGTCATCGCTAAGTGTCATCCTTCTCCTTATTAGCGGCCTTCCTTGCAAGCGACATTTTGTGTTCATTTTGAGGGTTACTTTGTGGATTGCTGTGACCGCGAGTGCAGTTACTTACTTTTACACGATAGGGTACATTACAAATGAGCTTGGAGACAAAGCTGTCTTAGTCGATGCTATGGAATATTCTGTCGAGGTATGGCTATGGCTCATGATGGTGATACTCTTTGGACATGGTTTGCGCTTCATATGGAAGATTATGGGTCATGATAGAAGGGCAAATATTAAAAAAACTTTGAAAACTGATAAGTGGAGTCAGTATTGTTGATCATCACTTATGATATTAAATACCCTGCTTAAATATTGATCATCGCATTAACAATAAAATGTATCATCATGTGTGCTTTAATTAAGAATTTACTTATAGTCTAATGTGTATTTACGGAACAGCGTATGTATGAATCAGTGTATGTATGGATCAGCGTATGTACGAATCAGCGTGTGTACTATTCGAGTTGTGAAGGTTTAATATTTATCGTTCTTCTTGTACAAAGGACAAACATTGATCTTTTCTGCATTTTACAAAGATGTATCGCTTTCTTATGTTGGCCTGAGTCGCCCCATATATTTCTTACAATATGACGGGAATGTATTTCAAATTTAATTTGTATTACTTATACTCAATGAGTTACAAGGAGCTTAATTTTGCAGTCTCTTAAGTTAAATTTTTCAATGCATTACAATCAAAGAAGGTGCTAAACTTTAAACAAATCAACAACGGTTGTCAAGCATGTTGATGATTGTTAGTTGAGATGAACTACTACAACAGGGGGGGTGAATTGTAGTGAGTTCCTAATGACCATTTTTCGTGAAATAATAAAACATATTAAAGTACATAGGAACTTGCAATGCACACAGGAATTTTACGAGGAAACCTTCCATGGCCCAACTAGAAGTAATATCTCGACCCTCCAAGGGATTTCAAACCAAACCAATCCACTATAATAGGGCAACACACCTAGTTACAACCTATTACGCATAGACCTTTGCTCACAAGTTCCAGACTGAACTTGCTACACAGTAGAACCTTATTCTACCCAACTTAAGTCCCTAACCTAAGTTCATTCCGCATTCCCAGAATACTCACAACTCAGCCTCACACTAGAAGCCTACCAAATAAATGCAACATATCAAACACTCACCCAGAAACCCAAAACAATACAAACACTTGATTCTAATATGTGACTCGAAAGCTACCCATGAAACCCAAAACTAATATGACAAAGCTTTAAACTGGGCAAACTTACTGTTAAGTACTCTTCAGATTTTCACGCATAAACTCACAAGTTGTATCAATTATGATCACTCCTTTATATACAAGAAACACTTGTATGTAAAGTAGAGTTTTCAAAAGATAGAATATTGAAACTGCCGTTTTATAAAACCCAACGTGAAATAAATCTTTTTATGAATTTTTTTTGGAATTCGAACAAAGATAAAATTTAGAAAAAGATTATTATTTTGCAAACCAGATTTTATAAGATAAAATCTCTCAAGGATCTTTTCCATAAATTAAATTTTATCTGTTATAAACTTTCCTAAATTACTAAGCTTGCTAAGCTTTTTTTGTCACGTTTCTAATTTTATGCATAATTAGCTAACACATGTTTACAACAATCTTTTTAAGTTAATTACTGGATGGCCTCCTCAAGTCTTGCATTGTATGAATACTTGGGCTCTTCGCAGACCAGGACTAAGTTCCCGCTGTCTTAAAATCTCCAGCTCCTTGCTGGAACTCGCAGACCAAGTTTTTATGAAACTTGCTATCTTCAACGCAGTCCAAGCAAGTCTCCTTAGCTTGTTGTCCATCTTCTGTTTAGGGAACTTCTCTTTGTGCTCCTGTTAGGGATCACTTCTAGATCCAGTGAGAAACTCTTCTTCTATTCTCTTTATCTTTCTTTTATTTCTCCCTGAATCTTCATCGATAGGTTACTCTTCCACTCCCTGAGTCAACTTCACCTGCTCTAATTCAACACTTGGAGAAATCGCATTAGTCGAAGTTTGCTTCTTCCATCATCATCAAAACTGATTAAGGTTCAACAATGATGATTATGATTACTATAATCTAGGCCATGTTGAGGGTTCTTCTATAACTGCAACAAAAAAATCAAAGGCATAAATCGATAAGTTATAACTAAAATAAATGTAGGTTCATATCTTCATTTTGACCATCAATCAGTATACTATTTTCAGTTATGAAATTTTTTAACCCTTTGCGTTTCATCATCCATTTTAGGAATTTGTTTATTTGAGAATTTTTAATCTCGCCCGTTCGGTAGTTTTACAGTTTGAGTTTAAAATAAGAAAAACTAGTGTTTAGCTCGGGCGTTGTATCGGGTTGTTATTTTAATTAAACCTTGTGATTATATTTATTTAATACTTATGGTTGGTGTCTTTTTTTCTTAATTATTTTAATTAGACTTTATGAGTTGCAATTATATACATTAAATTTCATGTTTATAATTGGCTTATGTGGTTAAATAATCATCCTTCTAATGAGAGGTTGGGTGTTCGAATCTCCTTATCTATATAGTCTTTCATGGAGTAATGATGATTGATTGGGTGACGTAACATAATAATCAAGGCTGATTAAGTGGTAAAATGACATAATGAGAGGTTGAGTAATTGATGTGGCGACGTGACATAATAATTAAAATTGATTCAGTGGTGATGTGACATAATGAGAGGTTGAGTAGGTAATGAGTACATTGTTATTTTTTTTTTATTATTGCCTCTTAGTTCAAGTCCTTTTCAAACTAATTGGCGTAGAATATAATTAAATTAAACACAATACATATTGACATCAAACATTCATACTAATGCCTGCAATACTAATGTAAATGTGAGTTATGGCCTTTTGGACCTTGGGCCTAAACAACTGAAGCCTTAAATAGGCCCTACAAGAATTATCAATAGTCTGATTTATGTACTTCAAATGGTTGGTGCGTAGAGCAGATACTCCCTAGAATATGTTATATACACCTGAGTGTACCGTACACCCAACTAACCTAAGGTTAGTTTTGCTTTTCATTTGATGATTAAATGAAAAACAATCATCAAAATGAGAACTAATACTCATGGGTGTATATAACAACCTCTCTATACTCCCTCTATTTCAATTCGTGATAATTGGAATAGTAAAGTATGCAATTAGTTTTAGAAAAATTATAGGGTGGGATCTAAAAGAGGGTTTTTTTTTTTTTTTTTTTTTTTTTTTTTTTTTTTTTTTTTAATACTAATTTAATAATATAGTTAATAGTAAAGAGAAATAATAGAAAGTAGTGTAAGCGGGATTGGTAGGACGGAGATAGAAATAATAAAATATTTGTGGAAGTAAGGTTAATAGATGAGAGAAAAAATAAATTAATAGTTGGTGCTTTATTAAAAAAAAAAAAAAAAAAAAAAAAAAAGTGTTGCGATTATTACGAAACAGAGAAAATAATATCTATATCTATACTATCTATTAAAAATGTTTCTAAAAACGTTTATGTGTCATGTGGCACCCTTTTACACTAAAGCTGCCACATATCTTTCAACATATCAAGTTAAAAAATGCTTATCACAAGGTTTGAACTCAAGATCACTATAATATAAATTAAAAATATTATCATCTCAACTATTGATTAATCATGATTTTTTTATTCGACTCATAAATATATATACTCTTATGTATGGATTGGAGAGCATTTGATTACTAATATTTTTTAAAAATCAATTCTATTATTTGCTAATAACTCATTAAGATAGTAAATGTAGACTATTAAAATATTATTAAAATATTACTTTAGTTGTTTAATTATTTTGATAATTATGAAATACTTTTTGCTTTTAGTATATCAATATAAAATATAGTATGTTTAATAGTAGTTAGTCAATATTTGTTGAACATATTAGAATCATAACATTAATAGATATAAAACCACAAAAAATAAAGATAAGAGAATGAGGGATAGCTCAAGTGGTTAGAGCTTCCCTCCCGGTTTCAAGAGATCATGGGATCAATTCTCACCCCGCCCTTGTGGCTCTCTAAACACCAAAAAAAAAAAAAAAAAAAAAAAAAAAAAAAAAAAAAAAAAACTCAAAACCATACCATTCACAAGCAATCAATCAAATTAATGTATCCATAAGTTTTATGGAAAACTACTATAAATAAATAGGAAAATTCTATTTAAAGAAATAGGAAAATCTAAAAACAAAAATGAATCTACCTATCCAATAACAATTATTCAAAAGCGACAACCCGGGGACGACACACACTAGTTATATACTACCTTCGTTTTATATTATTTGCAACGATTAGACACATTTTACTAACACTTTATATTAAATCGTCGCAAATAATTAATATGAAACGGAGGTAGTATATTTTCTAAGAATACTCACTAGTTACTTAACTACTTATGGCAAGGTTACAAAGCCAATTCAATATTATTCATTGAGTGAGATTTTACATTTATTTTACTTTCGCTCACTTTACTAATCGAATTTTCTTAAATCAATCTTAGGCTCTTAGCTTGTCTTCATTACATTACGGAGTATCTTTTTGTTTCACATGTTGGCGCCCTTCCAGCCTTTTACTCACACTTCATATAAAAAGCATAGGAGATGCTTGGCAAGTGATCAAGCAATCATGCATCAACATTGAGATAATAGTTTATTTACTCCCTCCATTTTTTTTTTTTTTTGCATTTATGAGAAGTTTTAGAGAGTTTATTTCCTATAATATTGTATTGTGTAAGTGGGGGTAAGTGCATGATTAATCTATTTTGATAAAAGAACAATGAATACCACTAAAGAGAAAGAAACAATAAAGCTACTAAGGAAACAAAGAGATATAAATAACGAAATATGGTATAAATTAGCTAGAGAAAGTGTGCATTTAAATTTATAGAGGAAGTATAAAGTAAGGGTTGTAAGAGAAGAAAAATAAAAATAACAGAAGTTATCCAAAAAGGAAGTGATATACTTAAAAGAAACAACCCATTTAGAAAGTGATGCACTTAAAAATAACTGGAGGGCATATACAATTTCTAAGATTACAATAAATTGCTAAATCATTGTTTGATGAAGTGGCACGATACGTGCAACAGCTATCCCCTAGTGCAAGATTTTTGAAACATATACGGTGAAGTTAACAATGACATTAATAAGTGTGATAGGTTACAAGTCGAATTATAATAATATTCCTTAAGTCTTGTCGTACAAAGCTCCTCATTATTCTTTCCTTGATCAGCTTAATATATTGGTTGTTACCTTTATCCTTTTAGATTGATACTTATACTTCTTATTATATTACACTCTTTCCCAATAACCAACTTTTGAAATACTATATATAGAAAGCCTGCAATTAAATTTTCATTAAGCTCATTATAAGAATTTCCCAGCTTTCTATAATTTTTTTTAAAAAAAAAATAGCAATTCAAAATGGGAAATCAAAGTGAAATAACACAAACCCTTCCTACAAATTTAAATATATATGAAGCTGCACTTAAGGGAGATAAAAATTACTTGGTCGAGTTGCTAAAAAAAGATGAATTAGCTCTCGATCGATGCATCATTGAAAAATCATGCACCTACATGCAATCTCCATTACATATAGCCGTTGAAATGAATCACTTAGATTTCGTTAAACAAATTCTAGAGAGAAAGCCGAAACTAGCAGAGGTGGTTGATCAAATGAAAAGATCAACCCCACTACACATTGCAGCTGCAACAAAAGGGTCGTTAGAGATTGTCAAGAAGTTGCTCGAAGTGAAACCGAACATGTGTTTCGTGCACGATCAAGATGGAATGACACCCCTTCATGTCGCGGCAGTAAATGGGAACACTGATGTGCTTGAAGAGTTTCTCAAGAAGAAGCGTCAGGCTGCTTTGGAACGAACTACGAGAGGTGAAACGATTTTACATTTGTGCGTGAAAAATTGTCAGCTAAAGACATTAAAAGCATTGGTTGAAATTACGTATGATCTTGAGTTACTAAACTCCCAGGATAGTGATGGCAATACTGTCTTGCACCTTGCTGTGGCTTACAAAGAAAAAGAGGTAACATGAAATCTAACTCTTCAATTCTCTTCCAATTTTTACATGTTAAGCTTTACTTGAATTGTCACGTTAATTATACTATCACGAATTTATTGGTCCATCCCTGATTAGGTTCTACTATATCGTTTTTTATACATTTGTAGGACGTTTGTTTCTATTATGTGCATTTGACATATCCCATTTTACAACTTGTACAATAAATACCTTTGATCTGATCATGAACGTCTTTAGTTTCATAATAATGACAATTATGTGTGTGTTTTATGAAGTAAAAGGATAAATGAAATAGTAGAGGAAAGATAGAATTGAATATAAAGCTATTTTATTACTCCCTCCGTTCTTGAAAGAAGATTATGTTTGATGGTTTTACACAGGTTAATATGAAAAATACGATAATGGCAAACAATGATTAGATATTACATATATCAAGTATGACATTACGTTAATTTTAAAATTAGGAATATTTGTCTTGAGAATAGATAAATAATTTTATGAATAGGAATAATCATTCAACATTATGAAAATTATTTAATATTTCGAAGATATTTACATATTAAAAACAAATCCATTTAGATAATTTTTATTGGTTTATGTTTTAAAAATAGTAAAATACCAACCAATAGAAAATATAGCACACTCATGACATGCTCACAAAAAGTGGGATTGAAAATTTGATAGAATTTGGACGCACGCGGAAGTTTGATAGACCCGACCCAAATATCATATAACAATTTTATGATTTCATAAAGTTTATCATAAATTGTACAAACATGTTTGAGGGAGCCCATGTCTCTCACTATCTTAATAGAACCCTTAGTTTCTATCAACCATTGGTGGAGCACTATTGTTTAGCCCAGTTCTAACACATGCACATTGAACATATTTATAGTGGTTGTTTCCCACTCTCTAGAATTTTCTACAATTCTCTAATATTACATGTATCTAGATCTTTCTACGTCATTTATTATCTTTGATATTTTACAAGTCATTTGTAGATACAAACCTCTCTTGATTTTTCTACTTCATTTTAGATTTTTCTAAACTACCAACTAGATTTTTTATTGCACATCTTGATTTTTCTAGATTAACTTCTAATAAAATTTGGGCAATCACTTTTAGTTAGTGTCGGATATTGTTAGAGATCTTTAATATTGAGTACTTCTAACCCATGCACATCGAACATATTTATAGTGGTTGTTTCCCACTCTCTAGATTTTTCTACACTTCTCTAATATTACATGTATTTAGATCTTTTTACATCACTTACCTTTGATATTTTCCAAGATATATAATTTCTAGATACAAACCTCTCTTGATTTTTCTACTCCATTCTAGACTTTTCTAAACAACAAACTAAGATTTTTCATTGCACATCTTGATTTTTCTAAGTTAACTTCTAATAAAATTTGGGTAATCGCTTTTAGTTAGTGGCGGATATTGTTAGAGATCTTTAATATGGAGTATAGATTTTCAAATATTGATACTAAAGTAGCCAAGTAGGAGTACCAAGTACCAACTATTCAACATTATTCATTAAGCTAACCCTTGCATTTTTGCCTGCCTTCTCTTAAATTCGTATTTGGTGACAATGCAGATGGTAAGATTTCTAATAGAGCAAGGCGACAATATAGATAAAAATGTTATGAACAAGAAAGACAAGACAATTAGGGATGTTTTTGACCTTACAAAAAACAAGAAAGATTCTAAGGTTAAAAAAGCTCATGAGAATAAATTAAAACTATGTTGTTGGTATAATAATCTTTTAGGAAAAAAGGGGAGAAATAAAGAGGATGAAGAGGAAAAATTACCAAACAGTGAAGATGAACAATTGCGAGAAGCTAATGAGGAAATTAAGGACATGCTTAAAAAGAACAATACAATACGAGCTGAAAAGGTGCTGAAACGCAGCAAAGACGAAAAATGGTTGGAGGAGCAGAACACAGCTCTAATGGTTGTGGCATCTTGTATTGCAACCTTGTCGTTCCAAGTCGGAATTAATCCGCCTGGAAGCGTTTGGCAGGATAATAGTGATGGTCATGAGGCAGGCACTTCCATAATGTCATACGATAAAGATGTAGGTTTATACAATGTCGTACAAGTTAGCAACACTATTGGGCTCATGTCATCGCTAAGTGTCATCCTTCTCCTTATTAGCGGCCTTCCTTGCAAGCGACATTTTGTGTTCATCTTGAGGGTTACTTTGTGGATTGCTGTAACTGCGAGTGCAGCAACTTACTTTTTCACGATAGGGTACCTTACAAATGAGCTTTGGGACAAAGCTGCCTTAGTTGAAGCTATGGAGTATTCCGTCGAGATCTGGCTATGGCTCATGTTAGTGATACTCTTTGGACATGGTCTGCGCTTCATATGGATGTGTCTTGGTTATAAGTTGAGGTCAAAAGTTAAAAAAGCTTTGGGAACTGAAGACTCATGTTAATATGTTTAATTCATTAATCACCTTAGTCCAATAAGGCATGCTTAGTTATAAAATAAAATGTACCATTATGTGGGTTTTCATATAGAATTCACAATGTAATAGGTCATAAAATGTTTAATGTGTGTTTTCATACTTGGTCATAAAATGAATCATTCGTGTTTGGGACGGTTTACATAATCTTGCAATTGCAACCTTGGAGATTTTTATTCACTTTGTACAAGTATTGCTCTTTTTTGCATTTTACAAAGATATATCACTTTCTTATTTTACCCTGAGTTCAGTAGCCCCATATATTTCTTATATGATCGCAATATAGTATATACGGAGAAGTAGGTTATAGTGGTAACAATGACAGCAATGTCAAGTGGCAGCAGCATGCATGATAACAATTATAATTACAATAATCTAGGCCATGTTGAAGGTTCTTCCCTGCAACAAAAAACCAATGCATTACACATTTGATTTGGGTTAATTAGCTGATATTAAAAGTATGGGAAGGGGGAATGTAGGGACCGTATCCCACATTAAAGAAACAATAAAAAAAAAAAAGTTGTGTCCAATACTCCAAGTCCATTTGACTTTATCAATTCAGTGAACTCTTGTTATGATGGGTACGATGTGGCCAAGCCCATTTGCGCATTTGTACACTATTTATATTTTCATTTTGACTATTAATGATAGTAGGATCCGATACTACCTTCAGTTTTGAAAGTTTTAACGCTATGCATTTTTATCTATGTTAGAAATTTCTGTGAGTGTTGAAGCTTATTGTATCCCACTTAGCTTGTGAGTGTTTCATATTGGAGAAAGAGGAGTTACTTCTACTATTACCAATTGATTTTAGTATGGATGCTCTTAAAGCCTTGTTTATGGACCAAATTGTAGAGGAAACCTTGTTCGGATTGCCTAAGCCCATTTCATATTGTCTCGAAATTTAACAGATTTTTCAAAATATGGTTTGGTAGTTTAACAGTATGAGTTTATAATAATTTTTTTCTTTCCCCCTACTTGAGCTTAGACCTGGAAAACGGGACGTTCGGGTCGGGTACGAGTCGGGTCAATCACTATTTGTGTCGGGTCAATTTGGATTTCGGGTCAATGGTAGTTCAAGTCGGATAGGGTATCGGGTCAACACTTCGGGTCAATATTCGGGTCTATTTATCAGGTCAAGTTCAGGTCGGGTCAAATTTGGGTTGGGTCAAACTCAGGTCGAGTCAATTTAGATCGGGTCAATCTTCGTCTAAATCGATGTAGAAATTCGACCAATAATATATTATTATTATCAATAAGTATAAAGTATAACAATTGAATATTAACAAAATATTCATTAGACAATTCCAACAGTACTATACACTCAAGACGACTATATTATTTCGTATGTATAATCACCATCATTGATTAATTGGTCATAAAATCAAATCAGATAATGTAAATAGTGGAAAAAAAAAAATCAATGTACTTCCTCCGTCCCAAAATACTTGGGACGTTGAGGTGGATACGTAGTTTAAGAAAATTATAAGTGTATAGTTCGGATCGCTTTGGATTTCGGGTCCGTTTGGGTCAATAAATTCGGGTCAAGATCATCAGGTCGAGTCGCTTCGGGTTTCGGTTCCCTTCGAGTATCGAGTCGGCTTCAAGTCAAGTCAATTCGGGTATCGGGTCAACTTCAGGTTCGGTTAATTCGGATCTGTCAATTTGGATATCGGGTCAAGTTCGGGTCACCTCCACTTCGATTGGGTATGAGTCAGATCGAGTCAGTTTCGTGTTCGGATCAATTTCAAATTTACGTTTTCGAGTCACGGATTTGAATCGGGTTGTTCAGATCGTATCAGAATTGCCAGATCTACATGAGCTTGCTTTGACAAAGCCCATATAGCAAGTAAAATACCTTTTGTATTCCAATAAAATATTCCACACAACACTTTCATTTTAGACTATTAGTGCAGGTCAACAGTAGAGTACTATAAGTTCTAAACTAATGCTAATAATATTACGTCACGCCAATAAACTCACCACGTCACGCCAATAAAGTCATCAATGTTACGTCACACCAATAAACTCATCAATGTTACGTCACGTCTCTAATTGAGTTTTTTTTTTTTGTTTTTTTTTTTTTTTTTAGGTGATTGAGTTCTCTTTGACATGAACTAGTAAGGAAATACATTTCAAAATTATTGCCTTTGTAATTTTTTTTATTTTTTTTAAAGAATATATAACTGTTTTATAAGGAATATTAATATTCTTTTTGTATATCTAAAAAACATCCATAATAGAAATAAAGAATTTGATAACATTATTTATAGTCACCTACTATAATCTAAAGACAAAATTTAAAGAACATTTCACAGTAAACAATGAACATTATATTACAAATAAAAATACATTACACTGACAATCAAATAACACGGAGATAAAGAAGATTATTTAACAGTGTGTTCTTCATAAAATAGTGTCATGTTCATTGTTATTTGTAGCTCTATGTTCCCTTTATATATCTCTTATGTTCTTTTATCACGCTCATTACATTTTAACAAAATGTTTTTTTCACTTTAGATATATGTTCTTTACACTTCTATAACATGTTCTTTTCACTTGAACTAAATGTTCTTTTCACTTAAACTAAATGTTCTTTACATTTCTATAAAACGAGAAAACCACTTCCGACAAGAAATTCCGACGGATCTCGTCGAAAAACACCGTTTCGACGGAAATTCCGTCGAAAAAAACGTGAAATTCCTACAAAATGTAATACGACGGTGCATTCCGACGGAATTTTATCGGAAACCGGCAGTTCCGACGGATTTTCAGGATATTCCGAGAGATTATTTTCCGTCGTTGATTAGCTGTTTTCTAGTAGTGTTATTGTACACTTATCGAGTTTTGAGCTGATTCGAACGAGCACGAACTAATTCAAGTCGAGTTTTGACCGAGTTGACTTCGAGTTGTTCGCGAGTTGCTATGCTCAACTAACACCCCTAGATATAACTATTTCATATTCCCTCTCATCTCTATTATTTTTTTTTTTAAGAAAAAGTTTTAGAAAAAATATAAATTTCTCAACATGAGATCAAAACTTGTATGTTTCTCAATTGGGTATATTCGTCTTTTTAGTCTAACGAAAGCTTAACAACGGTAACCCACAAATAACATACCCATCTCTCTTCAACAATGAAGTTTGAGAATCCTTCACTAATGGAGGTCGAAATTTTCTACAAAAATGAAGAAATCGCTCACAAATAATGACAAATACCTACCATTTAGGTAAACTATGCCCTTACTTTACATATTTTTTTTCTTAAGGTTTTTCGTTAACTTTGCCGCCGGAATCGATGTGTTGGGATAGGTGTTAGTGGTGTACAGGTGTTGAGGATAGTGTTTGTTTGTTGGTGGGGACTTGGGATGAATATCCACCATTGTTGATGAGAAAGGAATAAGGAAGGAAGATGCATTGAAGGATGAAAATGACGGAGATAATGAAGGAAAAACTTCTGTCATCTCATCAAATGTTATATTCTCACTCAATCAGCAAAGAGATCAGATCCACTATAATATCTAAATAATTATAAAAATGTCATTTTAAAAACAAATTCAAAATCTCAATTGAGAAACCAAGACTTGCTCAAAAATTTAATGATATACTAGTATACCCTTGAATTATTAAAGTTACAACATTATATCTTTCACTCAGATTGTAAAGCACACCTACTATAGTAGTAGGTCTAAAAGGTTATTAATTGGTCAGTCGAACTTTAAATTTCCACAAGAAGACAACACATTATATTCTTGAATCGTCAACGGGTCAGTCTAACTTTAAATATCCACAAGAAGACTAGCGTTTACTCCACATGCATTTTATATTCTTAATCATCAACTATTACTGGCTTGATATATACCAAATTACCAGAAGCTACTTCCATTATTGTCGAAGCTCACTGCACGAAATTTATGTGCAAACTTTGAAAATTTTTTATCCTAAATTTTCACTGTAACATCTAACAGATTAACACTTCTTCAAAAAAAAAAAAAAAAAAAAAAAAAAAAAAAAAAAATAAATCTAACAGATTAACAGTATTAATTTAGTATATGTGTTATGTGCAAGTTCGAGTAAAGTTTAATCACATTGATTAATTGAAGTAAATGATCTCAAGTTTATGATCCAAGCGGATTATTCCTTTTTATTGTCAATTGGTAACGGTTTATAATAACCTAACTTTTGGGCTGGGCTTTTAATTCTCCCTTGTGTCTTCTCCATCTGTCAAATTTGTTTACTTCAACCCTTTTTTTAATTTTATTTTTATTTATTAATGTACTACTTTGTGTACAACGGGAGTACATTTGTTTTATTGTAAAATAGTCAATTTGAGCGTAACTTTAACTATTTTTATGGAAACTTTAACCACTTAAAGGGTAACTTTTAATTTGTCATTGGTTTGAAGTTTATTTTAATGTGTAATTTCTTATGGATACGTGATTACATACTATAAAAACTAAATATGATTAATCTAATATATTATACAAGTAAATTTTTTGTAAGATAAAATTTATTAATAAAATAATAATAATTTTTGCAGTATAAAGGGTAACTTTTAGTACTTTTAACATAACTTTAACATGTTTTATAATAAATTAACGTATACCCGCCTTTTTGAAGAATTTGTGATAATTGGCATTTGTAATTAGAAATGTTTGGGGAAAGAAAAGTAGTTGTAAGAAAAAAGCACAAACTCTCCAAAAAGACGGGTGTACGTTATTTTATTGTGAGAGGGATTAAAGTTATCATAAGAGTATGTAAAATTACCCTTTATACAACAAAAGTGTGTTATTATTTTTCTAATAATAAATTTTGTGTTACAAATTTTTTTTAATGTAATTAGATTAATCATATTAGCCTTTGTATTATGTAATCATGAATTTATAAGAAATTACATATTAAAATAAGATTCAAATCAACGACAATTAAAAGTTACCCTTTACATACTTAAGTTTATAATTGGCAATATATATAAGGACCAATCAAATCTTTTATTTAGGTCTTCTAAAATTTGTTTTTTATATAAATTTTTTTAAAAAAAAAAAAATTAAAAAAAAAAAGAAAAAAAAAAAGAGACACACCAGAAAATGTTACTATTGATTTATCTTTTAGTATAATTTTATTAAAAACTATCTAGTAATATGATAGAATAGAGGTTTACCGTGAATATAAAATGAACAGTAGATGATAAAAAAGAAAATATGGAGTTACCATTAACCAAATAATTAGTAGTGTAGCCCATAGGAACGACAAAAAGTAATAATAATGGAGTAATAAAAAGCTCGAAACGCATAAAAAGTAGTCTTGCTTGATAATAATTAATATTATTTGTGGTTGCCTTTTTTCCAAAGAAAAGTCTTGATAATAATAGTCTTTGCTAGAAAAAGGTTCGCTACTTGGATTAATAGTTCATAATAGAGAGTGAAGTGAGTTTCCAAGAAAAACATGAGAATAAAAATATCTACATTCATTGGTCCAACATTCTTAGTTTCTTATCCATAAATAAAGGCTATAAAAGAGAGATAGGGCATGAACAATTGCAAGCAAACTTTCATTGCATGAATTCAAAACACTTCATTCAAACCACACAAAACATGGATGCACAAAGCCAATTACATGCTACAACAAAGCTATATGATGCAGCACTCAAGGGAGACGTACCTTCATTGCTCAACTTGCTCGGAGAAGACCCACTTATCCTTGATCGATGCATTATCGAAAAATCAGGAAAGTATATGCAGTCGCCATTACATGTAGCAGCAAATTTTGGGCATGTAAACTTTACTAACAAGTTAATAGAAAAAAAGCCAAAACTAGTAGAGGTGGTTGATCACATAAAAAGATCATCACCCCTACACATTGCCTGTGCCGAAGGGCACTTGCAAATCGTCGAAACCTTGCTTGTGGTGAATTCGAGCATTTGCTACACACATGACCAAGATGGTAAGACGCCTGTTCACGTAGCTGCCATAAATGGTCAAATTGACGTACTTAGAGCTCTTCTTAATTTAGAGCCACAAGCTGCTCGGGAGCGAACTATGGGTGGTGAAAGTGTGTTGCATTTGTGTGTGAAACATAAACAACCAGAGGCTTTGAGGTTTTTGGTAAAAACGATGGATGATGGTGAGTTGCTTAACCTCGATGATGCCCTTGGTAATACCGTCTTGCACCTAGCTGTGGCTGCCAAACAACCAGAGGTAATATGAAAATGAACGACGTACTATAATAGTAACTTATTAAATAGTCTTTTAATTTTATTTTTTTCTTATCCAAACAAAGTGTTAAGTGTTAACTACTGTTACTGTACCACGCACCATATTGGAAAATTTAAAGTAGGGATGATCTAGACTTTGATAGAATCATTGCAACTTTCTTGAGAATAGGGGCAAGGGCGGACCCATGAAGTAACAATGGGTAGCATGCCCATAAAAAATTAAAAAATTCAAAGTTGTTGAGCAAAGAGGATAATGCCATTGTTGAAGCTAATACTAAAGCAGTAAAACAGAAGAATAATATTTGTTTCGGATGAAAACAATCGAATCTCGGAAGATCCTTCTATCTTGAGGGAACTTGGTCTCGGTCCGAACGACGCAGGAGCCGAGGGTTTCCTGCACAACCAATACACGTAAACTAGCCTCGGGGGGGACGCCGAGGAAGGCCCCTCCGATGCTTAAGTCAGTATATTAGAGAGAGAAAGCTGTGCAAGAGTTTAGTTGCTTGAGGCTTTATTGTCTTACCAAGGATTGACCACATTGTTGGCTTTTATACCTTGGTTAATGAAGGAGGCGGATTCGGCCCGGAAGTCAGTTGGGCTGGGCCAAGCTGATTGGGCCGTTGACTGACCTTGACATGGCTTTGAGGATGTTGATTTTTGACTTTAGCACATTTGGAGAGTTGAACCTTAACCTTGGGCTTTTAATTGGATCATTCAGTGACCAGGCCCAATTGGACTAAATTGGACCCAAACAACTTGCCCCCCAGACCCGATTTGGAAGGATGACGGGTCGGGTTTGATTTAATCAGAAAAGGAGGGAAGTGAATGATTTGTTAATCCAAAAATGTGAATTTAAACCATAATTAACCCATGATTAATGAGATAACAACAGTTAATGTGGATAATTGCGGAAGTTGGACGGGTAGTGGGCGATTTAACTGCAAAGTCGTGTGTTTAACGGTTACTTAGTGGGGTGCTTGAGAGAAATTGAAACGCAGACTCCTTGAATTCCCATTTCTGGAGATATAAATAGAGGCGCGTCTTCTCTCCCCACTCATTCATCAACACAAACCCAGAATTCTCAAGAACGCTCAAGAGCCCGCATCAAAACTTCGCAAATTCCCCGAGCATTAAGCTTAGAAGCTGAGACTTGTCACTACCAATTCGTAAATCGGCGACTTTTGCTTCAGATCAAGGTAAATTCCTTTGATTTTATTTCATTTTTCTTCGACTTTGCACTCTTTCCCCTTTTTCGACTTTTCTCTTCGGAATAGTCCATGGCAAGAGGAGTTAGAGGTAGAGCCCGTGCTCCAAGAAGAGCAAGGCCGATTCCCGATCCTAGGGATAGGATTGGGACCTGGAATGGTCGAAGGCCGGAGTCTGACCCTGCTGACGGGATTAGGGCGACTCCCCTTTCCTCGGCTCCTCCTCAAAGAACGGATGAGCCGAGTGCTTCTGGACGGGATGATGAAATTCCCGCTGTCCTTTGGGATATCCTCCCAGGGTTTTCAGAGTGGGAGGATGCCGAAGTAGCTTCGGCCATGATAAAGAACCGCCCCTACTCATGGTGGGTGGAGAATGCTGATCAGTACCGGTTTGCCGAGCAGATTGAGTTGCATTACGGCATCCTTGAAGCCGATGGGTATTGGTGCCGAATGCCCACGGCCTCCGATAGAATCCACCGTCCACCCCCGGGGTATGTGGGGGTGTACACAAGGCAACTCCAGTACGGGCTGAGGTTCCCTTTGGACGTATTCGTCCGAGACTTGCTGATCCATTACAACATTTCCCTGTGCCAGCTGACCCCCACCAGCATCCGAAGGGTAATGACGTACTTATGGGTCTGCAAATTCTTCAGGTACGTGCCGAACCTGCATTGCTTCAAAAGGCTCCATCGGCTTGTGCCAAACATTCAAAGTGGGCACGGATGCCATGGCTCTGGGTGGTATCGGATTGAGTCTCGGCCCCCGTTCCTAACCATGTGGCCGAACGACTCTTCAGACAAGGACTGGAGAGGTCAATGGATTTGGGTTAGGGCACCCACGGAGCCGAGCCACCCTTACGTTTTCAGCGCTCCCCGGTATCTTGCCGAGCCGGATCCTGATATGGGAAGTTTAGGTCCTCCCGAAGATAGCGGGCCAGACCCGAACCTTAATCAGCAGAACATCTTCGGCAAGCTGCCGAACCGGGGAGGCAGCGGCCGAATGCAGCATATCCCGGAGACTTGGCTCCCCGATACGCACTATGTTTTCCAAGAGAATATGCTGGCAGCTGTCGGCCTCAGCCGAAAGTTTAGGGATGGTAATCTTCTTCGGCTGGGGCCGAGGCCTTTTAATTATCTCTTTTCTTCTTTCATTTTGCTTTCTTGTGATGTGCCGAACTAACTGAATTGACTTCTCCCCTTTTCTTTTTCAGAACGGGACGAGACCAACGTCGGCATTGATTACGCTCGCCTTGGCGTCAACCGAGAACGAGTCGTAACTGATCGGGCTCCCCCTATCACTGAACCAAGGCGCCGAGAGGTTCACCTAGACTCTTCCCACTTCCAAATTGAGGCTGTTGCTCTGTATCAGAGGCAGAAGCCTTGGTGGAAGAAGAGAGATCCCTTGTTTCAGCTGCTGGAAGAAGAAGCTGAAGCTGCCCGTACAGCCGAAGAGGTTGCACGGGTTATTGAAGCTTGTGAAGGTGGAGAAGGGTCCTCCAGAGTTGCTGAAGAAGCTGCGGCTAGGGCAGCTGAAGAAGACGAGGCTTTGCTGAAGACCTCGGTGAGCCTTTAGACTTAACTTTGTCTTTCTTCTTTTTTTTTTTTTTTTACTCACACTCTTCTTCCCCCCTCTGTTACAGTCTGAAGAGAGTAACAGACACAGAGAAGGCAAAGCTCCTGTTCGTCCCGAAGATCAAATACAAGAGTCTTCAGATTCAGATATGGACGAGCAGCCCCTTCTGAAAAGGCGCCGAAGGATGGCCATCATCGGTCCTCATGATTTTCAGCAGAGGCCGATGACCATCGGCGTCGCAATAAGGGAACCTGAGGAAGGCAATGGATCGCCGAGGGTTCCCCAGCCAACACCCCAATCTCCTCAAAAGACCCCTCCGCCACCTCCTGAGATGGAGGTGGATCAGAGAACTCCCGAACCTAAGGGAGGGGTCCAAGAAGAAGTCAAGGAGAGTGCTGCTGAGCACGAAAATAAAGATGCCGTGATGTCAAGTGCTGAAGGCTTCACGGCAGATATCGCAAGAGAGGTTGAGGCTTTCGTCCTCACCCCTGAAGAAGAGGAGGTCATAGTACTTGACTCCTCTGAGAAGGACGATGCTGAGACAACCAAAGCTAATCAAGCTCCATCGTCGTCCTTCCCTTCTTTCCAGACTCTGCATTCTGGAGAAATGGGTTTCTCGGCCCCCCGAATTCCAATCCCAGATCACATCTGGGACCTCATATGGGGTCAAAACCGAGAAGGAGCTGAAGCCTACTTCGGCAGTTTTGCTGGCATGTCCGAAGTAGACAGGGCAAGGATCTGGTCGCTGAAGGCCACTGCTGGGATGGGCGAATCCAGTAGATCAGTTCCTGACCCAGCCAGGTCTAACCAACTGCTGATGATGCAGGTAATTTTCCTTCATTTCCTCCGAAATTCAGCTCTATTTTTTTTTTTACTTATTTTTTTGTCTTCCTGTTTTCAGTTCGTGCACAATCAGACTCTCACTGTAGAGCTGATTGATTCCCTACAAGATAGGGTGGACGCTGCCGAGCACGATCAAAGGGTAGCCGAGGAAGAGCTAAAGCTTGCTAAGCTGAAGCAGGCAGCAGCTGAAGAGAAGCAGCAGAAGGCTGAGGAGTACGAGAAAAAGGCTGCTGAAGCCCTCCAGACCTTCTGCGACGCTATGGAGAAGGAAGTTTTTCCCCCACTGATGGAAGGGGAAAAATTCCTCCAAGAGCACCTGGGGGTGGACATCTCCAAGTTCAAGGCTGCTATCGAGAGCCGAATCCAAGAAGGAGCTGCTGCACAGGCTGAAGTGCAGCATCAGCTAGAATCTCTTGAAGCCAGCAGAATGGCTGCTGAAGAGATGCTCCAAGCTAGGGATGTCCAACTCTCAAGGGCTGCTGCTGCTGCTGAAGCTCAAAGAGCTAAGCTACAAGAGGCTGAGGATCAGCTCACTGCCAAGAAGGAAGAAATGGTCCAAGTTCAGGCCGAGGCTTCCCAGGTTCAGCAAGAGTTTACCGAGCTGAAAGGCTCCTCCTCCAAGCTCGTCGATGAGCTGAAGAGATCCGAGGAAGACTTGGAGGAGACGAAGAAGAAGTTGGCCGATGCTGAGGCTCTACTCAAAGTCCGTATCTATACCCAAGAAGAGTATGAAATGGGTTTTAGAAACGGGTTCAGAGTGTGCCGAAGGGTCTGCCTTCATGCTGAGCCGAAGCTGGACTGGTCCAAATGTGCTGAATGGGTCCAAGATCCCGAAGACCCTCACATGAAGTATGCCACTCCAATCGAAGCTGAAATCCTTAAGGCTGAGGAAGCCGAGGAAGAAGCTGAGAGGATGGAGTTGGAGGCTGAGCAGAGGGAAAGGGAGGCTCGGCAGAGTGCAAAGCCTGCTTCTTCTGCTGCTGGAGCTGAGACCACCATTGGGCCCAATGAAGCTGATCAGTCTGATCCTCAGGCTGAAGCATAGGAACTCGGGCAGTCGTCTTCAGAATCTTGCGGTTCATCATGCGCTCAACTTTAGACTTGCCGCTTTCTGAATTTTTGCCTTTTGTTTTTTTTTGCTTCAGCTTGCCTTATCGTACAACAGCTTATTATATTTTTATTTTGCCTGTACGTATTTCGGCAGCTGTTACTTTCCGCTTGTGGGCGGCTGCCGACTATTTTTGTAATTCAACATTTTTATTTCAAAGAAGTTCACTTTCTCAGCTTTCTTGTGTATTTTTTCTCTCTTCGCTTTACCAGTCTTCGCACTTTACTGCTTTCTTTGAATGATCTTTCAAATATT